TTGTCTCGTGGTCACTGCAGATTTTAATTTGTCTTGCTTTGTACTCCTGTTATTTGGTGGCTGATGGAATTGAATGGATGGATGTATATATACAGTAAGGAAATACTTATGCAATTGGATTTTGTTTTGTAAATGGCTTAGGTGCCACCTTGGTGTTAAACCTAGGAGAGGGCCTTTTTGGTGACTGCTCCCAGATTTTGGAAGTCCTTTTGTAGAGAAGATAGATTGGCTTACTTCTTGTTGTCCTTCCATCAGCAGGTGAAGACTTTCTTGTTGCAAGAGGCTTTTGGGAACTGACTGCTTTTAATGAAAGGGCTGGTACTGTGATGTTTTTATTGTAATGACCTTGTGTGACATTATATATATCATACTAAACATTCTACTAATGTTTAATTAACAATGTTTAATTGTTCCTAAATGATGGCTTTTTAATATGTTCTTAGCTGTTTCTATCTTAGCTGTAAGCCATTTTGAGTCCCTGTCAGGCTAAAAGGTGGTATGTAAATAAATATAATAATAATAATAATAATAATTAATAAATAATAAATAAAAATAAAAATAATAAAAATAAATCAGCAGCAGCAATACATTCCTCCACATCGGTCTACCCATGCACTGAAGATTGTTGTTTGAAGCCCTCCTCCAGGTGCACCCAGTTAGGGCAGGCTTTAAAGGGATGGCATTGTGGGGCACCAGCCCAAGCCCATAGCCCTACAGGGGTCCCAATCCCACTCTCTGGAGACTCCTGCTGCACAGCCTCTTGTGTTCATCTGCCATTGCCAAGCATGCAAGCAGTGACAAGAGTTAAGGAGATACAGCAGTATTCTCCACCTTCTTTGAGTTCTCCTTCTGGGCAGTTGCATGGATTGGGCCCAGAAGGAAAGGGTCAGCAAATGGACAGCCGTCCCTTGGAGAGGGGCCCACAGATGGTGTCTTGACCCACCTCCCCCAAAAAATATATAAACCCACCTGGAGCCAGCATGGCCCTCACCAGCTGAAGCAAGGTAGCCCAGCAAATAGCAGGATGTTCAACCATAGGTTGATAAGATGCTTTTTAGTTTTGCAAGGTGGGAATTGTGATACAGCAACAGCCCTCTGGAAACATCTGGAGCGTCAGGCTCCAGAAGAGGCACATCCTAATGATCAGAAGGGCAAACTGTATCGCTCTGTGGCTCCAGTATTTACCTCTATGCGCAGAGGGACCTGGTGGGACACATCCCATGCATTTTGATGCATTACAGTCATGCGTAGTTTTACAGCTCCAATTCCCCACGGGTTCAACCAACACCATGTCGCCTGACATCTTCACATAATCTCCCCTGCTACAAGCTTATTTATGTATATTTACAATATAGCAGGGTAGGGGGTAGGGTAGGAGATGATGGGAAATGTGGTGCCTCTCACCCCAGTGGGAAATCCAAGTTGTAAACCATACTGTTGCAATAAATGAATTGGACTGTGCATGAAGTAGCACCCGTAACAGTTGGATAACCAGGGAGAAAGGCATTTTGTGCAAACATGGAGCCCTCAGAACCCCTCCTAGTGGTGCAGCAATAAAACTGCTAGCACATTTGCAAAGCTAAGCAGGGTCCATTTCAAATTGGATGGGGAACCACGTTGCTGAGATTCCTGCATTGCAGAGGGTTGGACTAGATCAGGCTTCCTCAACCTTGCCCCTCCAGATGTTTTGAGGCTACAATTCCCAGCATCGCTGACCACTGGTCCTGCTAGCTAGGGATCATGGGAGTTGTAGGCCAAAAACATCTGGAGGGCCGAGGTTGAGGAAGCCTGAACTAGATTCTATTATTCTAAGGTAGGATTGGCCAGACATTTGCTTTCTCACCGTTAAGATGTCCCTCCAGAGCTCAGTACTATTGATAAATTGGGACACGGGTGGCGCTGTGGTCTAAAACCACTGAGCCTCTTGGGCTTGCCAATCAGAAGGTCGGCAGTTCAAATCCCCACAACAGTGTGAGCTCCTGTTGCTCTGTCCCAGCTCCTGCCAACCTAGCAGTTCGAAAGCACACCAGTGCAAGTAGATAAATAGGTCCCGCTGTGGCAGGAAGGTAAACGGCATTTCCGTGCACTATGGTTTCCGTCACGGTGTTCCGTTGTGCCAGAAGTGGTTTAGTCCTGCTGGCCACATGACCCAGAAAGCTGTCTCTGAACAAACGCCAGCTCCCTTTTTTTAAAAAAAATAATATTCATTAATAATTTCAGAATTACAGAAAAAAAGAAAAAAAGAAAGAACAACACTACAATACATAAAAAGAAGAAAAAACGCAAAACATAGAAACCAATACAATACAATAAAAAATATTAAAAAAGGGGGGGGGGGAAACACAAATCCCATATAACTTCCATTTGCTTGTTTCGTTGACCTCCTCGCACCTCCCTTTTTGTATTCTAGTTTAGTTAGTTATTTCAGCAAATTCTTTCCATCTTTCTCAATTTTTATTAAATAATTTATCTTAACAATTTAACCTATTAATTAACTCAACAGATCCTTTCCATCTTTCCCCATATTCTGTTATTCAAATTACCTTAATTTATTTAACCTTATCTTACCATAAAATACCTTAAAGCTTGAAACTTAATACTCATTTATACATAACCCCTGATATCATTTCTGCTAGAGTCATATAGTTTCATTCCAACATTTTCCCTAATATTCATTAATTTTAGGCTAATTCCCTAAATAAAAAGTTTTCTGTATAAATTTTCTTCCAATCTTCATCCAACGTCTCTTCTTCCTGGTCTCGGGTCGTGTCAGTCCTTACTGTCCATTCCATCTAGTCCATCAACCTGGAAGCCTTATGTCCGAGGCCCTTAAGTCTCTTCCATGTCCCTGCAGATCTTCTTCTTCTTGTTTATACTTGCACTTTTCCTTGTCTTTTGTTGGTCTCTTTCTTAATTTCTTTCCTTTCTCGTTGAGGAGTAGGTCTCTGGGGGGTTCCAACCCAAAGTTATCTCCATCTCCCTTCATCAAATCAGCCCATTCCCCACAGTCCCACTCCCCACAGTCATCAATATAATCCAAAAAATATTTGCGAGCATATTTCGAAGTCTCTCCAAAGTTAAAAGCCTCCTCAGCTCCAGACTCCCCCTGGCCCACTCCAACTTCAATCTTCAAAAACAACGGTTTATGCTCCTGTGGGGCCTCAGGCCTCTCCATTTGTATTATTTGAGGTGCAACCGCAGCCTCCTCCATTATCTTCTGCACTTGCCCAATCAATACAGGTTCCTGAGTTGGACCCTGGATGGTTTCTGTATCACTGTTCACTAATTGTCCAGAGTTATTGTCCACAACAGTCATCAAATCCATTTTCTCATTCATCAAATCCATTTTCTCATGCATCTGTTCCAACAAAGCACTTGTCTTGCATAGAGCAAGCACCAAAACTTCCTTCCAGCTCATATTTAGTCAAGGTCAAAAGGACTAATCCCACGATCTTAATCTCACAGCTGTGGCTGCAGCAACAATTTAGCAAGCTCCCTCTACAGGAGACAATTTCTATTTGTATCCATCTTTTTAAGGCAAGTCCAACAAAGGAAAATTACTTTCATTTTTTCAGATATTTTGTTTCTTTAGAATGCAAAAGGCAACATTGGAATCAGTTTATTTCTCTTCTTTAGCTATCTGTCAAAGTATTCCATTCACAGTCAATGAACCTCTCCAACAATTTCTGTCTCTGACACCCCGTTCCCAGGTTAGAGACGGTGGAAACTTATCTTTCTTCACTCCCTCTCCTGCAGGCGTTACACAAAGCCCCCCCCTTTTCTCCTGCTTCCAAGGGGTTTCAGTAGTTGTAAATGAAGGAAATTTAGGCTTTTTTAACGACTTTCCAGGCTTTAGCTTACAAGGTTTTTGCTTCAGTCTATATACAAAAAGCGGAAGGCGGACTTCCTGTTTTGAACCTTCCCGCTTCGATGTCAAATCAAGATATTTCGTGATCCAATTTTCCGTTTCTACTCACGGGTACTTGTTTTAGATCCAATTGTCCACAGGAAAAAGTCAGCGCTCTCCGGCGATGGCTGTGCGGCTTCACTCCGTGAAAGTAGCAGTCAGTTCGCAGCACCGCGCCTCACCCCACTTCACTCCGGAATCCCAAAAAGGGGTTCCCCGTGAGTAGGGGGACGCTCCAGGTGCCCTGCCGAACCCCACGTTCCCAGGCTTCCTCCGCCTGGGATTTCTAGCGGGTCCCCACCTTCGCCGCGGCGGGAAGACCCAGTTTCCACGGAGCTAGTTCCTCCGGTCGGAGGAATTCCGCCATTCGCCAATGGCGCTAACCCGGAAGTCCCAAACGCCAGCTCCCTTGGCCTGAGCTCCGCAACCCCGTAGTCGCCTTTGACTGGACTTAACTGTCCAGTGGTCCTTTACCCTTTTACTTTTTTACTATAGATGAGGAAGTTAGGCAAGGTGCAAGTTTACCTTGATCTATTAGGATGCTTTGGGGCTGGGGGACCATCAACAGCTAATTGCTGCAAATCTCCTATCCACAATGAGTTTTCGAAAGAGGCCACTATGAGAGTGAGAACTGACCTGTAGCTACTGATGGGATAGGACCGAGCTGCTCTCCCATCACCACTATTGCTGCAATCTTCATGGATGGGGTTGTGGCAGGGTAATAATGAGGTTGGGACTGTGTGGACACACTGTTGGGAGCCTGGCCCTGTGCTCCTCTCCACTTGCCAAGGGCCGTGTCAGCCAGCCAGCCTCCCCGTTGCGCGGGTGGGCAGGTGGCTCAGTGCTGCCCTTCTATGCTCCAGTGAGGATGGGGTTGCTGCGGCAGTGAGGGATGGGCTGGTGCAATCCCAGCCCAGCATGTGTGGGCCTGCCCTGGACACCAGCAGCCCATGCTACACCACTGCATTTGGCACAGTCATGCAGTTGACATCATTTCTGGTCTGGCCCTTGTTCCGCTGTCAGTAAAGCCACATGGCTCGTTCTTGGGAGGCTGAACACCACAAAGGAAGGCAAACTCCTTTGTTCTTATTGTGCCCTTTGGGTAAAGGCTATAGCATCTGCTTTTCATGCAGAAGGTCCCAGGTTCAATCCCTAGGTAGGGCTGGGAGAGAGCCCTGCTGAAATCCTGGAGAGTTGCTTCCTTGGTGCATAAGTTGAACATAGCTCTGGGCTGTGAGGAGGCTCCTGACTCCGAAGAGCTCAGGTGGAGCTTTTGGGGGCAGTCTATAGCTCTCTCCCCTCTACCAAAGAATCCCAAGGTGGGTGTGTCCAACTTGCCCTTTCGCTGCACCGGAGTCAGATCAGGCGATGGGGTAACATGGAGGTTATTCATGAATTACTTATCAAAACACAGAGCTCACGCTAAACATTTGTTTAAAAATTGATGCCGGCAGTCAGCGGGGAGTGAAATATTTCACGTTAGTTTTGTGCCTTCATTGTGTCAGAGTCAGAAGGTTAATGCATCTGCCGGGTCCCAGCGCGCCTAATAGCATCGTTTTATAGCAGTTGTGGCTCTTTGCCCAGGAAAAAATTAGAGCTGTCAGGTGGACTGGAGGACTAGCATGAGTTAATGGTCCCCCAGGACGGGCCGCCTCATCAGGCCACTCTGATTCATGGGGAAAAGTGGGGCAGCCGTCCCCAAGTTGCAGCTTCAGAGCCCACCTGGTGGGGACATTAAAGCGATCCCCTCTCTTCCCGCTCACTGCCCCATAGCAGTGGCAAGCTGCAAGCCATTCTCAACCTCCATTTCAGTGCCTTTGCTTTTGATTCTCCATGGGAGAACATGTGCTATGCGTGCAGAAGATTCTAGGATTGGTCCCTGGTACCAGCAATTCAAAAGATTAGGTAGCAAGAAATGGGGCAGGTCTCTGCCAGAGACCACGAAGATGTAGCTGCTGTCATTCAGAGTAGCTTATCCTGAGCTTGATAGACAAATAGGCTGAGCTGCCATAAGGTAAGTCTCTATCTTATATTTGCACTCATCCGCCATCAGTTCAGTGTTAGAAACTCAGATATATAAGCTAGGCGCCAAACAGCTCCTTAAACCAGGGTTACAGTCACCAAAACAGAATGCTTCTTCGCCATTTTGGGGCACGACGGTTCGAAAGTTGTATTTTTCAATAAGTATTTTTGGTTCCTACAATTCATTCTGATTATGCAGATAAACTATAATGGACAAAATTCTACAGGATGTGTCGCTAGTGTGTGAGAACAGTCAAGATCCAAGGATCCCCAGGCAAGCATCTCCAGATGGTGGAAACATCAAATGCCATCCTGGCTCCTGGGCATCTTCACTTGGTCGCAAGTGGCCAATAGCCAGGTGCAAATATGCCGGGCAAATTTCAACCACTGCCTGATTGGTCAGCCCTGATTTGTAGTCTGTAATGATGTGGTGGTGGTGGTGGTGGTTTTAAATCATTTGTTTTGTCGCTTTTTAATTTTATAATTGTTTTATTGTTCTGTGTTATGCACTGTATTGTGAGCTGCCCTGGGATCTCCATTTGCTGAAGGGCAGTTTAAAAGTTCAGTACATACATACATACATACATACATACCTGCATATATATGTGCATACATTTATTGGTATGTCACCTTCCCTCCAGCTGAGGCCGGTGTGCCTGCTGCAACCTCTCGCAGGCAGTGACAGCCCAGCCACAGTTACTGAGGTCCTAACAGGACTGGATTTCTCCAAAGAAGCAATTCTCAGAAACATCAATTAGTTCAAAATCCTGTGGCGAGACTGCCAGCCCTGGTATGCAGGTGGCGCTATGGTCTAAAGCACTGAGCCTCCTGGGCTTGCCGATAGAAGGTTGGCGGTTCAAATCCCCACAATGGAGTGAGCTCCCGTTGCTCTGTCCCAGCTCCTGCCAATCTAGCAGTTCAAAAGCACGCCAGTGCAAGTAGATAAATAGGTACCGCTGTGGCGGGAAGGTAAACAGTGTTTCCGTGCGCTCTGGTTTCCGTCACAGTGTTCCATTGTGCCAGAAGCAGTTTAGACATGCTGGCCACATGACCCGGAAAGCTGCCTGTGGACAAACACCAGCTCCCTCAGCCTCAAAGCGGGATGAGCGCTGCAACTCCATAGTAATCTTTGACAGGACTTAACCGTCCAGGGCTCCTTTACCTTCTTTACCTTTTACATTTATCCATGATTCTGAAGCACCTCCACTGGCTGCCAGTCCATTTCCAAGTAGAATCAACCTGAGGGTACCTGAGGGATCGCCTCCTCCCAGATGTGAAGGGCCGCAGCTCAGTGGCAAAGCATTTACTTTGTGCACAAAAGGTCCCGGGCGCAATTCCTAGCAGCTCCAAGTAGGGCTGAGAAAGGTCTTTGCCTGAAAGCCTGCCAGTCAGTGTAGACAATACTGAGCTATATGGACCAACAGTCTCACCCAGTAGAAGGGAGCTTCTTATATTCCTATTTACCCATGTGCTAAGATGAGGCAAGGTTTACCTTGCCTGGGCTGGTTCACTCCCTTCATGGGCAGACACGTTTTCCGGCATCCGCACATGCACAGACATGATTTCCGGTGCCACGGAAGCGAGTACTCATGCCATACCATACCAGTTTAGCGCAGCACGTGGGGACTTTCCAAGAGGGTGGCTCGGTTCGGGGGCAGCTCGTGGGCTAGTTAAATGACCCCTGTGGGCTGCTTGTGGCCCATGGGCCTTAGGTTGCCAACCCCTGCATTAGAGGATCTTCTCCAAGTACTCCTCACTTCTGAGGTTAGGTGAGTGGCTCTTAGTGAGATTGCCTTTTGGCCATGGGGCTCTGTCTGTGGCGGAGTTGGGCAACATGTGGCCCACAGATGTTGTTGGACCCCGATTCCCATCAGTCCCAGACCCAGCTTCCACACTACTAATCTGGAGGATGCTCTCCCTATTCCTTCTCTCCTTTCAGCAATAGGCAAAGACCTTTTTAGTTTAATTTTCCCAGGCCTTTTAAAATGTCATCCTGAACTTCTTCATTTTTTAAGTGCCGTTGTGTTTTTTCACCTGCTGCCTTTTATTAGCTCTCCCTTTCTAATGTATTTTTTTATTCTCATTGTTTGAATTGGGTGGTTTGTTTTTTTTTTCTATCTTAAATGTTAGCTGCCCTGGAAATATTCATATTGGCAGGATACCCACTTTAAAATAATAAATAAAGCAGCCTTTATCATTAACCGTCTATGTGGGAGGGAGGGATTATGAAAGATAACTACTATATGGCAGGTAGTTTTATTATCCCCATATTAAAGATTAGAGGGGTGAGGCCAGGGCAGCTCAGTGAATTTGCACCAGAGGAGCAATTAAAAACGGAGGACGTTCCAGCTCTTGGGCCTTCATGGGCAGCCATACTTGGAATGCTGTGTGCAGCTCTGATTACCAGACCTCAGAAGGGGAATTGTAGAGCTGAGAAAAGTGCAGAAAGGGGAAAGGCACATATGTAAGTTATAGTATTCACAACCAAAATATGTGGGGGTGGCTTAAAAGTGAAGCAGGTAGACAAATCCGTGGAGGTTATGACTGCTTGTTATGATGGCTATATACAGTGCTATTTTTCTAGAAAAAGAGGTGCTGGAACTCACCGTGACAGTAGTGGAAAGTGGCATGAAGATGAACATGATCACTGGGGTTTGTCGTATTGCAGTCTCCTTCCATTAAGTTCACACATCCTACTTCTCCTAGTGTTATGTACTGAGTTGAATAGGATCCAAAATGCAGCAGTCTGATTGGTCCTAGAACAATAGGATCCAAAATGCAGCAATCTGATTGGTCCTAGAACAATAGGATTCATAATGCAGCAGTCTGATTGGTCCTAGAACAATGCAGCAGTATGATTGGTCTGCAGGAGCCACCCAATCCAGCTCCAGATGGAAGTGAATCCACAACCTGATTGGCCTACAGGAGAATTCCGGAATTAGCCAATCAAGTGCAACCCATTGTGTAAATAATGTATATAAAGCAGATACTTTGGGGGAACATTCATTCCTCCTCACCACTATGAGCTGAATAAAGAGCATGAAATCCACTCTCGACTCCGAGTATATTTCACTTAGTACTCTGAGAAAATGCATAGGACTTCTTCTTAGGATGAAATGTGGATTCCCCTACCCCATGTCCCAATACACAAACACGGAAGGGGATCTATACAGCATCTACTGCCTGCATACCAGACGGTGAAACGCTCCCAAAGCATGAGCTGTGGCTGCAGTGAGTTGTCAGTGGAAATGAATAACATCCTCCCTTTTCTGCATGTTCCAGGTTTCAGACTCGGGGTTGTACGTTTGCATCGCTACCAGTTCAACCGGCGAGACAAGATGGAGTGGGTTTCTGGCAGTGCAAGGTCAGTGATGTTGAAGGAAGGGTAGGAAGTGGACTCAAAGGCATGAGGTTTACATTATTGGACGTCTTCAGACATCCTCTACATGCATTAGCTGGGCACCCGGGGAGAGGCAGTGAAGATGAGCATGCATTGGTATCCATGGGATTGGGGGGGCGATGTCAAGGGGGCAGTTGCCTCCCCACAGAAGAACCACAATCCCCAGTTTCCCAACTGTCATTTTAAAATCAGGAGTAAGCTTTTAGCACTTGTAGAACCTGAGATACGAGGCAAAAGGTACAGACACCTTTTACTAATAGTTTGAGACAATAGCCTCCTCCCGACTTTCAGTGTTTTACTTTGCTCCTCCCCTTGGAAAAGTTGCTACAGGCACCTATGATGTAGCCATCATTGTTCCCGTTGCCCTCTGTGACTTGGAGGACAACTGTTAGAAGCAGGGACCCTCTGTCCATTTCCCCAAGTCCGTGGGGCTGGACCTTGGAACTGTGATGAGAGCAACTCAGACTGCAAACCTATGTAAGAGCTGGAGGCTCCACCCCTTTCTGCCTGTCAGTCAGGCCCTGATTCTGCACGTGGTTTCCCCCTCCTCCCGAGTAGCTTCACATGCAGCTTGCTGGGCAGTGCCTGGTTTCCATCGCCTCTCATCCTGTGGCTCTGGGGGAGATGTGGGGACATGTTGGAGAGCCAGCCCAGAGACCCAGCTGCTGGGGTGGCATCTCCAAGCCCTGGGACGGGAGATCTCAGGTTCATGGTCTTGGCAAGCCTGAATCCTGACACTCTT